GGTTTATATGTGTTTAAAATGGTTTTCTAAACACATATATATATTAGGGCTGCGGAAATTAACGATTAATTCCTCAATTAATCGTTAATTTTTTTGATCGATGAAATTTTTTTTATCGGTACTCACCTCTCCACCGGCTTCCGGGTCTTCCAGGAGTTCCGTCGGAGATCCGGTGACGTCACGGATATCGACGTCAATGGACTCCTCCCCCCTTCCCCAAGTGGCTCCATTGGCTAACGAAGAGAAGGGGGAGGAGTCCGGTGACATCGGTGTCTGTGAAATCACTGGACTCCTCCCCCCTTCCCTTTGTTAGCCGACGGAGCCACTTGGGTCGGTGAGTATGGGTGCGTTCATGGTTCATGGTATCATGCAAAGAACACACCACAGGACACTGCAGGCCCACACCATGGTTAGGGATGGTTAGTGTTTGCCACAAATACACGTTTTCAGCTGAGGAATTGAATGGTCAGGACCAGTACATAGAGATACATCCATGTATACAAGCCCTAAAACCACACATGGACAGTTCATCTCTCTTTGGTTCCATTTGCACAATTTCCCTGTCAGAATGCAAGCTTCCTCTTTCACCATGGAATTGAAGTGTTGCTCCACCTGCTGATATATTATTCATATTGTAAAATAACATCCAGCATGTAGCACAAAGCTACCATGTTATAGTCATGGCTGGTGGACAAACTTGGAACTCAGATCAGAGGTCTCACCGTCACAGTTCATGAAAACTATAAGAACTGGTGGTGAATTAGCGCACCGCTGTTCTCATGAAAGCGAGATTTCAGTTTTTGGTAGGCTGACCCTTTAAATAGGAAAAAACATGACAACTGGAGAGCCAGCATTGCATTAATTGATTGGATAAAACACAGGTCAAGGACTTCCGGTTCCGGCGCCTGATGAGTTAACGGCATCCCCGTTCGTTCCGTCCCGCCACACAACAGAAAAAGCCTCTTAACCCCCCTTTCACATGATTCCTTACTGCCGACCGGATCAAGGCCGCTAGATCTGTAGATCTCTTGGCAGACAATGTGCTCCAGGAGTCCTCTTTTGATTTTAATGAATGCACTTTGACACTATATTCTTTTGCTTTTTCCATGAATATATGTAGTCACCAAGCTGCTAAGGGCAGGGTAATCACTACTAAGGCGATCTCTGTCAGATCAGATGGAGGGAGAGAATACTGCAGCCAAGATGGCGCTGGCTGACAAAGCTGACAGGACACCGTCTGGAGACGGCAACCCGCAGATGCTGCAGTGCCGTCCGTCCGTTTTTTTACTACGGGCGGACGGCAAGAGGTTAAAACATATTTGTGTGAACTGTGAAGTTAAGTCATGGATTGTGAAAACTAACTAGTGTCGGGTGATTGTATATAGTGTATACCACATTTACCACTGACTAATGCAGAGTTGCAATGCAAGCAGATCATCTAAAAGTAGTTGGATCTGTATGTGCGTTATAATTAATCAAAATTAGTTGATTCATCAATTTTAAAAAAAAATCGATTAATCGAACACGAAAATTGTAATCAGTACCAGCCCTAACATATATGCATCTAATAATTTCCAATGGAGCTATTCACACCTTGCATTTAGATGCTTTTAGATGCAGTTATTTTGGCTGAATTTAGAAAAAGGTAGGAGTCGGGGCGTACAGGAAACAATTTTAACTTCAAAATGCACTAAAACACATGCAAACAAGTGTACACGTATGTAAACACAAGACTTCAATGGACTGTTTCAATGGACAAACGCATCTAAATCTATATGCATGTATACACGGGTAAGCACATGTAAAGGTGCATAAATGTGCAGACAGATCTCTTGCATAAAAAAGTGGCACATGTGAATGAGGCCTAAGGTATAAGCTAACCATGACTCTGAGCAAGCCACCCATGTGGGCTTATTGTAATGTCTACTACTGAGGTCTGTGAGTACATGCACATTTTAATAAGCATGCAAAGGAAAGTAGAGTGGTGGTTTAAGAAATTTCTATGTGTAAGTGCACTTACTGTATTTTTACATTTTATCACACAGTTAGGCATATAATGTAAAAAACAACATTTGATTATTCATTCTATGCAGCTAGAGCACTGCTAAAAATATTTGAAATTCATATTACAAAAGCATGCTAATTTTGCAAAGGCAATGATTGCAAAAAGTCATAAAATGAGATAAAACATTATTACCTTATGAAATATTAGCATTCTAATTAGACAAAATAAATATATTTTAGGATTTTACGTGCCAATGTTGTATTTTTTTTCTTGCATTACAACCTCATTACATGGTTTATGTACGGAATATTTCTACACTTTCAGGTTTTGCAGCCGGTTCTACACTGGAGGCTAGTAAATTGTAAATGAAACTAATCAGTTTTCTTGGAATCAATACCCCGTGGAAAGAGCATACACAGAAATTAAATCAACAGAAGTCACTTTATTTTCTTGTATGCGGCATATAACAGACTTTGCTGAACCATTACCATCTTCTAATTATCAGTAGCAGACATAAACAGCACTACTCCCTAATGTAATCCTCTCCAGCATTCCCAGATTAATTTTGTTATGATAGGAAGAAAAGAGGAATCGTGCAAAAGCTTGTTCACACCTACATGAACAAATATTGATTTAGATGCCCCTCTAAAAAAACGTTGAGCCACAGAGCCTATATTATGTTTAGAGATATCCCATAGAGTGACTCTGTCACCTAAAAAAACTAATTTAAGCAGCTAACAGGTGTCAAATGCAGCTACCTTTCACTGCCACCACTGTGCACAAATGCCGGTTGCTCTTCTGAAAAGGGGAATGTGAGAACAGTTAAGGGTAGTCTTGGTACTTGCCCACTCCCTCCTGCCCCACACATTCTTCTTTGCAAATCATTATGATGTGCTGCACCTCTAGCAATCAATTAAAAATAGGCAGAAGGCAAACAGTCACTGCCAAGAATCATTCTAATTAATACTGATTTGAGCAGGCTGACATTTGAACATAGTGGGGGAAATAAAAGCTGTAGCAGGTCTATACATGCACTTTATGCATGCTAGCAGGTCTATTATTTTAAAGTGGCACAGGCCACATAACCCCAACCTTCTGCAAAAAATTACTACACAAGCTTGAAGGTGCCAATACACTGTACGATTATCATACGATAATCGGGGGGAATCCCGCGATCGTACGATAATCGCAAAGTGTATGGAAGGCGTGCGACCGCTTGTACTGTGCGATTTCACGTCTTCCTTCGAACAAGCAGGCTGGAAAACCCGCCGAGAATCGTACGATTTTCGGCGGGTTAGTGGTGTGCTTGTTCGACAACTGCCGAACGGGCCGGTGAGCGCACCTCAGGGTGGGCTACCGATTACTTTAATCTCCAGTGTCAGATAAATTGTGAAGCAAGCTGTAGAAACATCAGAAGGCAGTCAGAGACAGCCGGAAGTCCCAGCGCTAGAGCAAGAAGGGGAAGGCTGGACACCATTTAAAAGGACACCGGGAGGAATACCGTTATCCCAGCATCATTAAAATGGTGGTTGGGGCACCAGTAAATAAAAAACAAAGGATTCTTCCAGAGCACTGTGAGTTTTCTAAAGAGAGAGCAGAGCAATATTTGTCTCCTTTCATTGAACCTTGGAGAGATAATTTCAGATGGAGGGGAAAGAGAGGGGGATATTTTTCAACTTAAGCTATTGAAGTTTATAAATAATAGGATTTTAACAAGGAGCCCAATGATCTGCCAGTTGACTGGATAGAAGTATATTATAATGTAGATAGAGAGGATGTCATATTAGTATTACCAACTATATTGCTGACTATAAGAGAAAGAAAAGATCTTGTTTAGCTCTCCCAGTTGCAGGCAAGCTGGTTATATACAGGGATTTAACCCTCTATAACATCAAAGAAAAAAAGCTTTGAGACCAGGGTCTCAGACTTATTAAGACGAAATACAGTGTAATAGAGAGACACAATACAAATATTTTATAAGTAAGCCCACTCAGTTATAATAATTTATGATTGTATATATTTAGGATTTTGAATAAACCCAGACTGGCTTTAAGGCATACTGCCACTCTTCTCTGCAGATGCAATGCTGTGTGAAATTTGCTGAAGAACAGCTAACCCACCCCTAAAGAGTGGTACCTATACCCTACGTTTTTGAAAATTACCCTATTTATGTTCTGGTCACTGCATAACATGGCTGTCCCATCCTTACCCCATCTCAGATTAATTTTGAAGGGGATAGAAATCAAAGGGTTATGTGGCTGTTTTGAAATAAATTAGATTGAACTATGATAGTGCCAAGGATATGATTGGGTTAGGTGTGCTTATGTACTTATACAAAAAAAGATGTTTACATGATAAAATATGCAGAAACATCTTTTAGATTTTTAAATTGTATCCTTTTTCATACACAGATGCCTAATCATGGCTAAATCTGGCACATACTATCATTCTACAAAATGTGAAAAGGATGTATGTCAAATGTTTATTATACCCTATTAACAAAAAGTTGAATCAGTTCACAATTGGTTACATCACAGACTCAAACTGAAATGAGTAAAGGTAAAGAAGTGTAAAAAAAAGAGCAAAATTAAAAATGAGTGACCTCAGTAAGAAGAAATTAGTAAATCAAGGAAAACAAGAAAACCAAACTTCCAATAGATAACTAAGTCACATGTAACCTGATAGAACAACTAAACACTACGTAAAAAAAAAATTAAAGTAATTGGGCTTTAGCCTAAATCCAGCCAAAACTTTTTTTTGTAGAGTGGGGGTTACTTAAAACTTATTTCAGGCTTTATTTCTCTGTGTGTTCCCAATTGGGTATTTAGCACCTCTCTTCCTGCCCTACAGTATGTATATATATTAATTGACCCCCCTATACTACATAGTAGGATATGCCCATTACTAATGAAATCTTCCTACTGTTCAGTGAAGCTGTTGCTGATGCTACATTGTTTTTGTTATAGAAAATGTCACACAGATGAAATCATCTTACCAGCAATTTACCAAAGTTAAACAGAAATTCCTTGGTTATGACTTGGGAGCGGAAAACCTGTTTAAAGACATAATTTAAAGACATTAGAAAAATCATTTGAAAGATACTTTTATCATGATAGTTATCATGAATGGATCATTAACACACAACAAACATTACCTCTGCATATAAGCTGAACACAGATAGGAAATTGCAAAACACAATGCTTATACTTACCTGCCCATCATTCCCTTGTTGCTCCATTCACCCACAGGAGCTTAAACATGACTAAGGACACTCTGCTTTCCCAATGTGACAACAATGGGTGCCTAATCAGCCCAACATCAGCTCACAGAGGTCCTGTCACCAGACCATTCATTTCAACAAAAGTCTTCCTATAAGATTATATGACCATTTATCATATTTTAGGCATATTATTTACCTGTAAAACCCTGACTTGTGTAGACATCTAAAAGCCCTGAGACTGTTTCCGGGACCTGCCATTTTGGATGTGATGTAAGAAACCCCAGCAGACTCACTGTTACTTGGGTAACACTAAAAAGTAACACTCTATAGTATTTCCTTTCACTCCTCCCTCAATAGCTGCAACAAATGTTACCTAAAAAAAGGGAAGGGCAGAGAAGCTGCCAGCACAGACAGTAATTAGACATTCCCAGAAGAGGAGAGGGCTATGATGTGCAAAAAAAGGGAGCTCTGCTAGGGAATTGACCCCCCTGGAGTAGTACGATTTTTGAGTAAGGCACATTGCAAGTACATAAAAATAATTTATAGAAAGGAAAGCACTGCAGGTAAGCATTTACTATACTTTTTGTGCCAGTAATTTGAAACATTCAAAAGTAAAACCCCTACCTACGGGTAGACACCACAAGATGTCTGCTATTACCTGTGTTAGACAGAAACTCCCTATCAATGCAAAACCCAGAAACTATTTCACTTAATGTGTGAGGGCATAACTTTCCTGACATCAGGACACAGCCCTACCAAATACCATTACCCTGTCTAATGAAGTTTCATTATTGGCCACAGAGGCTTTTCCATTGGACTGGAAGATGGTAGGGGGTGTAGTTTAGTCCTTAAACTCAACCTGTGCTATGCCCATGCAGTAGAAATGAACAGGTTCATTCTAATCCCCTTTGTCGGCAGCATACAATTACCTTCCTTTTGCCACCCCACTGGTCTGTTCAGTGGCCAGGAGTGAGGCTAGAGAGCTCTGTTCAGATCTCCAGTCGGAGTTACACAGTGCTGCAGACTCGCCACACCCCTATGTGATAGCGCAGAACCAGTGCTGACATATGAAGTAAGTCACATGCGTCTCAACACTAGATAGTAATGGGTATTTTCTTTCCTCTCGGCAGATGGAAAGAGCAACAGGGGAGTGAAGTAAAGATGAGTATATGCTGCTGAAGTACTAGGCTGTAAAGAGCTTTTCTGCCCAACAAAGTTACAAGCGGGCATCTTGTGGTCTCCGCTCTGCCCTGATTCACATCTAAACATTCTGTAGCTTAAATCTTACAGCTCCAAAACATTCAACAACCAATATCCCATGTTTTTATTTTAAACATGTTCACATATGAGTGCTAAGGCTTAAAAAGGTACATAAGCTACTTTTTTAAAGCAGAATTGGGCATTTTTGACAACATAGATATCAATGAAAGAGCCTGGAAAAAAATCCAAAAATGGTCTGAAAATGCTTGAAAATTAACGTCTATCAAAGCTGAACCTAGCACCTAGCTTTCCACTGGCTAAAGCAAAAAACACTCAAGCCTGAAAAAAAACATGGAGGAGTGCACAAATAAAAATGCTCTAAAATCAACTTTAAATGATCACGTTCAGATTTAAATGTAGGCAGAACATCTTAAACACTTCACTTTTATTTAGAAGGTGCTCTTTGAATCCTTTCCGCTCTGTGTTTATTTGTTTGATGCTGATGTGCAGGTTTCTGATTTCTGTATAACAGACTTATGGTCATACAGCAAAAACTAAAAAATTAGATGCCTTAAAGTCAGATTAACTTCTGTGTGTGCCTCACCTGACCTTTTGTTTTGCAAGCTGGAGAGAGCACATAGGTCTGTAATTAAACAGTTTGTAAAAAGGTTTTAGTTGGCATGTATTGGAGCAATAGAAAACAAAGAGAGTAAGATTTCACACCCCAAATAGATTGACTAAAAGGAATACGAAGAGTAGGTTCCACCTTAAGGTATGCACTTACCGAAAGGGGAGGGGCTTTTAAGAAATACTATAAACTCTCTAAATGCATAAAAATATGAATTCATTTATTACATAATTATAAATAAATAAAGTTAAAAAGTAGTTGGTCTATTTTACATGCAGTATAGTAATTAAACAGTGATCAATGCTTGCCATGCAAGCCGACATCTCTGCTCAAGTCCTCTAGCAAAGACACTAGAAATATTAACATTTTGCTTTATGCCAAGGTGATCAGTCTATAGTTGTTTACAGTTAACTGTGAAAGGTTCACACCAACACAGCATTACATTGTTTTTATGGTTCCCATGTGGCAACAAACAAATCTTAAGCATTCTGGTAAAATTCTGAATTTGAATATAGAACAACACCTCATATCTGTGTCAGAGCACATAAACAAAACAAAAATATAGCGTAATAAAGTAACATGGCTGTGGAAAAAACAAAAAAGGAAATATTTTGATATTTGTGACTTTTCCATTCAATGTATGCTTTTCACACACAAAAAAAGCCTAATATTATACCTGAGATGTGACAAGATGCTGTATAATTGCCATGTTAGGAAGACACATTTTCAGCTGCTTAGCCTGAATAGTTGATGGGTGTTTACGTCCTGATACATTAGACAAGGCATTGAGAATATCACCTATAAAATGAAATCATATAAATGAACATGGTGTACATCAAAAGAAAAAAATTATATGAGTACATGCTACTAATTGTTATGACAATTTTTTCTCCTAAGGCCCCTTGTACACGGGCTGATAAGGAGGAGATCTGTGCACGGACTGCCAGACCCCATGTTGGTCTGTGAGGAGTCGGATGCAAATGTACATGTCAGATTACCCCAAATCTGGCACAAGCAAGTCTGGTAAAACAGATCTCTGATCTGTTTGTTTTTCCGGATCTGGCCAGAGTCTGAGAAAACCAGGTGTAAACAGACACGCGTCCATTTATACCCAGTTCCCTAAAGACTAGCATTGGACATCCGATTGGGTGCGCTTGAAAAACTGACAGGTGGACCCAATTGGACCTCCCGTGAAAAAGGGGCCTAGAAAAGATGCTGTCATTTTGCCAATTTAGAGTCTCTATAGAACACGGGCGTCAAACCTAATTTAATCGTGGGCCACATCAACATTATAACAACAATATTGTATCTGTAAGACTATATAAATGTATCTAATCTTTGTCATAATTGCCTCTGCATTCGATTATCACTGGTTTTAGTAATAACTAATAATAATAGTAATAATACCTAGATCTGAAAATAGAAGTCTAGGAAATGGCCTGGTGGGCCGGATTCGGCCCCTGGGCCTTGAGTTTGACACATATGCTATAGAAGATCATTTCTGGATAATTTTCAGTGTTTGAGCTCACACAGGTAAAAAATGTCACCCCCCCCCCCTTCCCATGTGACAGTGTTTGAGCCGGTCAATTGGAAGCTTAGGCTCAAGTACTGTCACATGCGGGAGGTCACAGGCTTCCCCATCTTTGGGAGCCTTACTGTGTAAGCCATAAAGTGAGGACTCAAACAGAGCACAGAGATAACAAAGCAGCATAGATAGGGTAATATACCTTGCTTAGAGTGGCCTGTAAACAAAAAAAAGTAAATTGAGCCAATTTATATTTTTTAGTTTTGACTATTACTTAAAAGAGTTTAAGTTAAACTCCAGTCAGCATTAAAGAATCACCATGTAGTGCCTCCCTCGCACACATACCGCTGACCTGCTTGCAACCTCTCTCGTGTCATCACATACAATGTAGGATTAGTTATTCTGCTCAGACAGTATTGAGATTCACAAACCCCTGCCCAACTGCACCGAGAAAGTTGTTTCCTCTATTTCCTGGTTCTGGTTTACACCCTCCTCTGTAATCAATCTGGTCAATGAGTAAGCAGTTTGAAGTAGCTGATTAAATGTTCAAAGAGGAGGTCTGAAGCAACGAGCGGACCACGGAAGCGGCAAGGCTAAACCAGGAATTAGGGAGGTCACCTACCTGGCTGTGTAATTTGGCATCAATGTAAAGGGTTAGGCTAGCTGAATAGAATATCAAATGTTAGTTGGTAAACCATTTACAAATATGTATTTTTAATGCCCGTTTAACTGTTTGTTGGGATTTGTGTATAAAATGCATAATGGTCCACATTAGTATACAGAGCTAAGATGCCCAAAAGAAAAAAACTGTGAAATCCGTTCACGTCATGCACATTACCCAGAGTTCCTGGCAGCTCCTGTACTATGTGATGGATGAGGAGGTCCAGACAAACTGACAGGTATTCGTTGATGCTTTGCTGCTCCTTCACTGGTGTGGTTTTTCGGCTATCTCTTTCAATATACATCACAAGTCTGAAAATAAGTAAATGCAAAAGATGACACCTTCTGACAACATAAAATAATATATCATTTCTTCCAATGTCACCTGCGTCAAGCTAAGGGAAACTGAAAAAGAACTGACATACATGGTGGAAGGATTTGTCATAAAATGAAATGCTCTTTAGCAATACAAATTTCTCGAAATTATAAATTTTTGAGAAATTAAATAACTGTGTATTTATTATTGTTAATTTGAGTGTGATCTAAAACATGCTTATATGAAGTAAAGGAAAACAGACATAACGTTTATATATACAACAGTGTACAAAAAAGGCCTAGCTGTGGTGAATGTGAATTCCCACAGGTCTAAAACCATTTGCTTGATAAACAACCCCATTAGATATTGGTTCAGCAATGTGCAAAAAAAAAAGAAAAATGTCACTAGTCCTCATTAACTTTAAAGCGCTTTTAGCTAAACATTATACATTTCTCCAACATAGGCACTTGGGTTTTCTTTGTTTCATTTTGATTTAAAATTTATACCAGGGCGAGCAAAGGCTGCAGTTATGTCAAATTAATTCAACACATGATGCATGAGATTCTGCTTTGGTGAAGAGTGAAACCTTTTGTAGTTAAGATATGATTCCTATGAAATGCTATAGTATACCGTATATATATATATATATATATATGCGCTGATATTCTTATAGCAGACATAGCTTTAGATATTTCCCAAATCTGTTCACTTATCTCCTATTCGGGCCACCTTTAGGTGATCCTTGAAAACTCGCCTCTTCAGGGAACCCTATCCCACCTCCACACAATAACTGTACGTTTAATTCTTCCATTAGCTCACCCCCCAAAATTAATACCTTTTCAATCACTTGCCCTACCTACTAGATTTTAATCTCTCACGGGCAGGACCCTCCTGTATTGAATTTGTATTGTAACTGTACTGTCTCCCTTCATTTTCTAAAGTGCTGTACAAATTGCTGGCGCTATGTAAATCCTGAATAATAATAATAATGTTATGTGCATGCAGGTTTAGGTGTATCTAAACCCAGGAACAAAAATGTACTATGTGGCTGCTGCATTAATATTTACTTTTCAGGCTTTTTTCCCCTTTATTTTCTCCTGCTGAAACAGGACAACAATCCCCTCTCTCTAAAAATAGGACACTTGCAGATCACAGTAGTCTTTCTGACTATGTCTTCGTCTTCCTTTCTCTCCAGAAGGTTGGATAGATCATTTAGGGTCAGTATCTATTACCTGGCCCAAAGTTGCAGGATGACACAATCATATGAAAAAACTGTACTTGAGCAATAGGCTTTATGTTCTTAGATTTGTGTGGCAATTTACAATGTGAGATACATCAACAGGGGGATAGGTCAGTCCCCTAATGCTGCATCTTATCTTGTAAATTCCCAGAAAGTTACAATATAAAGTCAGAGTGATTATTAAAGTGGACCTTAACCCATTTTACTAAAATCACATCAGCATGCAGCTCTGCATGCTTATTTAAAATAATCTTAAATTCATTAGTTTAACAAATGTTCATCTACTTCCTGGTACACTTCTGGCACAAATTATGTAATGTGCCAAAGCTTTGCATCCTGAGAAGGTTACATCAGCAGAGCATTTCTGGGAAATTTCATCTGTAATCCTATGAGATCTCAGGGAACGGCAGTTTCCTCCCCTGAGATGATGTGCATGGTCACATGTCCTAGTCACATGTGCCAGGGTTCCAGGAAGTAAAGTGCCAGTAACCTGCCCTTAGTTAATATGACCCTGTCAGAAGACTGGAAAAGGAAAGAGAAATGGGGTATGCAAAAAAATATAAAGTCTACAATTACCTAGAAGTATGTGTTTGTAAATTGTCATTACATTTCTAAAGGTGTGTTTTTTGTTATTTTAAAAATATGGGTAAAGTTCCACTTTAAGGGCACGGAGCCTGAAGGAATGCTTCTTTCTGACTGCTCCTCCCCTCAGACATACCCTGAGAGTGTATGTAGACACAGTCATTTGGCTCGAGCTTCAAGTAGAACTGAAACCAAAATTTGATTTAGTTTTGGATAGATTAGGGTTATTAATCCCTGTCCGATTTTGTGACCCACGGGGGAGATTCCCATTCACTTATTGTCCCTCCAAAGTGAGGGAAATCCCTGGTGGTCAGCAGGGACACCAGAACTATTGTGCCAATTGGAAGATTTCCCATCGCTTTCACTGATAACACTCACCAAGATAAATGGAGGGTGAATCTCTCTAATTGAGACGCATACACCAATAAAAACCAGTGTTTTAAACCCTCTCCACTCTATCCACAACTAAAACACAAAGTTTTGGCTTTAGTTGCACTCTAAGAACTGCTTTTTTACAACAAATTTTACAATTTTTAAACTGTAGCAGTATACTGTTACATTCAGTTTGTTTATGATGATTTACAAAGTTACAGATAAGTCTAGGCAAAAAATCATTAGCGCACCGCATACCGTTTTCTTTTCCACTGAAAAGTTTGCATTGTTTCAGTGCTGTACAACTTTGACTATGCTGCAAAACAATAGGCAGAGCAGGGGCTCAATGGATCTTATTTTATAGATTTTTCTCAACAATGCAAAATAGCCTACACACCAACAATTAAGTTATATGTAAATGCATCTAGTTTAAATCAGAACATCATTTTTCTAGTTTGAGTTCAGGTTTAAGCAAACAAGGAGGCAGGAGAGTAGTTCTATATCAACAGTAGCAGCAGTTCTATATATGAGTTATTGAAGCCCTGCATAGGCGTGCCCAGCCTATTGCATTAGGGCAGGGGTCTCAAACTCAATTCACTCAGGGGCCACTGGACAAAGTTTTTTCTCCCATGGGGGTCGCTAGTCGAATTTCATACTTCAAAATAAAATCGAACTATATACAGCACCAGTGTTAATGTCTGCGTGTGTTTCTAATGTTGGTATATTTTTGTGATGGTTTGTGTTTGCGTATTGTCAGGATTTCTGTGAGTGATGTCGGTATGTGTGTTAATGTTTCTGTGTGTGTCGTATCAGTATGTATACATGTGTATGTGTGTGCAATGTCAGTATGTGTGTGGTTTCCCCTACAGGTTTTAATTTTAATCATAGAGGACCAACAGATTCACTTACACTTAAACAGGAATACACACACATAGAAATATGCGCACACACACCCAAACACACACACAATCATACACCCATAACCAGAAATACACACACTAATATACACACTATAAGGTCCCATTTACAGCTGTATCTTTAGGTGCGATCTGCTGTTTGCAAGCGGCAGCTGTCACCCGTTCAAGTTAATGATCAGTAGGCAATCAATCACTATCCCTGGACGCTTCGATTGTACATCCACAGAGAGTGATTGATTCCTAACCTCATGTAATCATATCACATACCATTACATGTGGTGTGCAGGCGTTTACATGCAGCGGCTGTCATCTGATCATTAACTTGAAAGGGTGATAGCTGCCACTTGTAAAAGCCAGATTAAGGATTCCTGCAGCAGGAAAATGCAAATTCTTGACACAGAAATCCCTAATCGCACCTAAACTTACCGGTGTGAATGGAGCCTAATTCACACATACATAAATACATGCACACAGGAATACGATCTCACACATACACACACACTTCCACAATAATACACTCCCTCCATTCCCCGACTGTCCCAAAATAATACACTCCCTCCATTCCCCGACTCTCCCAAAATAATACACTCCCCCATTGCCCGGCCCACCCACAATAATACACTTCCCCCTTCTTCCCTTGCCCCCCCCAAAAATGCACCACTGTACACCTACATAAAATAAAACAAAGAGCTCCCTTACCTGCATATGTTTCTGCAGGGAGAAGGCACTGAGGCGCAATGCCATGTGATCCAGGGGTTGATGAGTAAGGTCTGGTGCAGACCTTACTAATCAATCCTTTCGGCCGTGTTCAGTGAAGACGCCGGCCGAAAAAGGATCTGTGCCAGCAGTGACAGGGAGCAGTTCTATGGTCTGCATCCAACAGAAATGCAGACTGCAGATGCTCCCGCAAGTCGGGTACGCTGCCCGTGACTGCGTGTCTGACTTGTCAGCTGGCTTCCACATAGTAGTGGTTGTGATCTCCGGCTCAGTGAATAAAAAACATGGTGCCCGCTGTTGTGGTTTTGGTGTTGTGCTCAGGGTGATTAGAGTGTGCCCAGACACACCAGACACACCCCCTCTGCACGCCTATGAAGCCCTGCTACTCTACCAAAATGGTCGCCTTCATACAGAGAGAGGGAAAAAGGCATAGAAAATCAATAATGGGGAACAGCTCAGCAGCAGGGAGCCCACAGGCAATACTAGTCACTAGCCCTTTCTCTTCTGCTTGCCTTTTTGGAGTAACCTTCCACAGTTCAGGTCTATATTTATAGTTATATAATATAATAATAAACAGCACATCTATTCACGATTTTTAATTTCATAGACTTGCATTGCCACTTATCTCCACCAAGGGAACAGTAGAGTAGGTTTAATACTTTTCTCTGTACGTTGAAGATCAGGTAACAATATGAATTAAAAGAAAATTCATTATGAACTTCACAACAGAAAAAAAGATTTCATGTACTGTACATCCAACTTCAAAATGGCCGCTCTTACAGAAGCTGTGAGAAAAAGAATGACATCCGTTTCACACTGTGTCAACACATTTTAGATTATTTTTCTTTCCTAGAACATAGACAGTTATCTTCATTGTATAGGGACAGGAAGAACTGAACAGATATGATGGAATTTTCAAACAGCCCGCTGTAAGCTAGCTAGCATAGCATTATAAAAATCAACATATAACTTGAAATCCTCCTGGCATGCTGAAGCACCTACATATCAATTAGCTGGCTTGATCAGTAGAACCCAATATGTACACACCAGGACATAAATGTTAAATGGCATATTATGATTCATGAATGTAGGGTTCCACTGACTTACTCTAGTCAAGAAACACAAAGGCCAATGTAGACAATTTTATAAGATCCTTATTTTAAAAGAT